ATTAATGGCAGTAAATTTTTATTATTTCGTGTTTTTATTTGGGAAAAATTTGAGTTTGTCTTTCCTCTATCCCGGTGTTTGGATCAATGAATGCCTACTGAGAGAAAGCCAAACCATATTTAAAAAAAAAAACATTTTGCTTTTTAAACCAAATAGAGCCGAGTTCATCGTATGGTTGGTAATTTTTTTAATTTTTAAAAATAATATTAATTTTCAAAAAAATAAAAACCTTTACTGATAAATTAAGAATTCCTGTTTTGGCCTAATTTGATTTTGATCAAGAATTGAGTTTGAAAATAAATTTGAGTTCTTTTATAACAAAAAAAAAGCATTAAATTAAAGTTAAAATAATAAAGCTCTTCAGTTCTTATGACAGAAGGATTCAATAAAATTAAAAATAAAAAAGCTTGAGTTTTAAACCTGTTTCACTGGGGGGAAAAACCTTCAATGACAGTTGTTGCAACAAATTTTTTGAGTTGATGACATATGTCTATTTGTCATTTTAATTAAGCACCAACCTAAACATGTTATGATTCTTAGTTGTCTATTATTTATCATTTCAATTAAGCACCGATCTAAATGTGTTGTGATTCTTTCTCTAATGAGCTAATATCTAACGATCATAAGATCTCACTCTCAATACCCAGTGGTTATAAGATTATCCTATTAAAGTTGGTAATAAGTGGGTTTTGCCAACCCACCAAGGTGTGGGCTATTTAAGCCCATACCGCTTTGAGCTTGCGGCAGCTTGCGGGGCTGGCGGGTTAGCCCCTCCCCCTCTTTTTTGGGTAAAATTAATTTTTATACATGGTTTCACTTAAATATGCACTATGTAGCATATAGTCCAAGTCCAACTTTAATATTTCAGATTTTAAAGCCCAACTCTCATTTCCCCACCAACAATAATATAAAATAATAAAATTATAATCATAAAATGGAAAAAAAATAAAGACTAAAATTTTAATAATAAGAGAGAGAATTAATGCATGTCTTCTTCTCAACATGTTATTTTTATTTAATGCCATAGTTTTAGTTTACACTGTGACTTTATCCTCATAGCATTATGATAATGTAAATGTGTGTAAGATTTTTCTCCCAGTAACACGGTTTAATCTTGTACCTTGCATGTCGCAACTATATTAGTGCACTAATATGTACAATTAGCATTGACATAAAAAACTCAATACTACAGCAAATAAAAAAATTAATACTACAGCCATTACTATTTATAACATTTATTTAGATAATTTACATGAAATAAAGAAATATTTAAAAAAATTTCTATTCAAATGACAAGCTTATATTCAATAATAAATTTACTTATGGTTGAACAATTATTAACTTATGCTTAAAAAATCAAGTTTGATCCTCTTAGCTCTTGGTCATTGCTTCAATTATGTAACAACAAAATTTTCCTTAAAAAAAATAATTTAGGAGGGCTGACATTTTGCGAGCCCACCAAAGTGCTCGAATTTGAGTTGGAATGGTACCGGTTAAAGAGCCAGTCATGTGAGTTACAAATGTGTCGAACATTATTTCTTATCAAATAAAAAATTAAGCATTAATCTACTCTATCAAGTTATAGACGCAAATATAAATCTAAATTGAGTACATTTGAAATTTGAAAGTAGAAGGTACATAACTCACCAATAATATTGTTATAAGACAAGTTTATATAAGTAAGATTTTGAAGAGCTCCAATTTGAATTGGAATAGTACCTATTAAAGCCAGTCATTTCGAGTTGCAAATGTGTTGTAAATTATTTCTTATCAAGTTTAATATACTCTATTAAGCAAGAAACAAAGAACCAGATCGCGCACCAAATCGGTTGAGATAGTGGTTTAAGGATCAATAGGTTAGACCGAGATCAACTTAGGGTGAAATTGGTTATATTAAAAATAATATAATTCAATTGAAAATAACAAAATACAACAATGCTAATAATCACTAACAACAAAATATAAGGAAATACAACAATAGTTTGATTGCAACAACACCAAAATATAACTACATTGAGAATTTTGATCTTTACGATTTCTCAATAACTAAAATTAATAGCCATTAATACCAAAATTATCATTAAAATTTATCGAAATCTATAATGACTGAGATATTAAAAGCTAAATGACAAAAAAAAAAGACTAATAGTAATATAATAATCCAAACTAGTTCATCGCTGGTTTTCATTGGTTTTCATCGGTTCATCCCCCTCTTTGACCATGTTTATACTAGTTCAATTTCTGGCCAATTTATTACTTAAACCAAACCAGATCACTAGTCAATTCATTAATTTACCGGTTGAATTGGCTGGCTTGGTCTGGTTTTTTCACTACTATTAAGTTATAGACATAAATATAAATCGAAATTGAGCAAATTTGCAAGATAAGAATGAAAAGTGCATGAGTCACTAACAATATTTTCGTTAGACAAGTCAAAACCATTACGGTTATGAAGAGGTCCAATTTGAGTTGGAATGACACCCATTAAATCCAATCATCCAAGTTGCAAATGTGTTGCAATTAATTTCTTATCAAATAAAGGAATTTTAGAACAATCGTGGGTCTCCTTTTTTTTTATTTTACAGTATTTCTGCATTGACATTAAAAATGTAGTGTGTAAAAGAGCTAGAAACTTCATTGTAATATTGCCACTGAGAAAATTGTATTGCAAGCTGAGGTATTGCAACTTCAATTTCCTAGTTTTCTAGGATCCTATTTGAATTGGAACGATACCTATCAATATAATCCTTATTTCTCTAAGATCCAATTCTGTAAGATTGGTAAGTACAATGAAGTTAAGATCTGCTAGCTGAGGTTTCAAGCTTGAAATGGGTCCATATATAAATGGACGTTATCAAAATAACACTTCCATTACAATTGCAATACATATAGCATCCCATTCACAATGGTCGTCTGAAGAGTTGTAGCTATTCCACCAGTTGATCAGAGGGAGTATTATATATTTTGGTGCTTTTAATTTGATATAGCAAAAATTACACCAGTTAATAAAGCCTTATAAAAAGAATCAAAGGGAGCAATACATCCTAGAGGATTATTGGGTAAATACGACTAACCCCCTATACAAACTGCAACATTCAAAATAAAGTCTAAATTTAATATAAAACATTTTTTATGTTTTGAATAATTTAATATTTTTATGTTTGCAAAATTTAAAATAAAAATGATCCGTTAATTATCACATCTATTTACCAAATTGTCTTTTTAAAACTTTATACGTATTTAATCTGTGTGATATATAGATGAATGTAATAATTGTAACAGATAATAGATCTCTTTTCTTTTTCTTTTTTTTAATATTTTGAAAAATCTTAGTGCTCAAGTGCCCCACATCAAAGGGAAAAAAAAGAAGCTAAATATGCTCTAACTCCACTTAACCATCGCACATAAACCTCACTAAAGTCACAACAGGGGATCATGTGTTCTCACTGTGGCATCGGAATTGAAGACACTATCCATTATTTGCGCGATTGCTTATACGCTAAGAGGCTTTGGGAGCTGCTTGTTAAGCCTAGGTACTTCTCTGAATTTTTTTTCTTCGTCTTTATGTGATCGGATGTCATGCAATCTAACCAAGAAATTGGGTGTGGATGATACCTATGAATGGAATTTGATTTGGGCTGTCACTACTTGGTTTCTACGGATCTGGGGAAATAAATCAATTTTTTAGACTGATTTCCAAAAACCAGCTCAGCCTTATTGTGTCATCCTAAATACCTGGAAATCTCTTGTGCAAGGAAACAATTTGCCATCTTCTTCTTTGACCTCCTTGGTTATACAGACTGCGGCCTGGCAATTACCTACAATTGACTGGTTTAAGGTGAATGGTGATGGTGCGGTTTCTAATGGTTCTCAAGACGCCGGGTGTGGGGGAATCAATAGGGACACTAAAGGGACCTAGACTGCTCGATCTACCCCTAATGAAGCAGACGAATGGTCTATTTTGAAGGGGCTTCAAGTCGCTTGGGATTTTGGTTTTAGAAACATTATTGTCGAATCAGATTGCAAAAAATGTGGCAGACTTACTCCTCAAAATCCAAAGAACAAACTCTCACAGCCTGGTCTTTTGTCAAATTCAGGAGATGCTGACTTTTAAGTGGAAGGTGAAATTACAACACCTAACAAGAGATCAAAACTGTAGCAGACTCTCTAGCCAAGGAAGGAATTTACATAACCTCTTTCTTATATAGATGGCCGGCTCGGGATTTGTGCCAGAATGATTCTTTGGGAATTGGGAACAACTCCCCTACATTCAGTTTTCTTTGTCTGTATGGATGAATTCCCTCCTTTATCCCAAAAAAAAAGTCTCCTTTTGTAACACCAATTGCATAACTGCCTAAAAAAATGTTATTTTTAATACCGATTGTTATTTGAATCAGTCTGAAAAATAAAATAAAAAATATATACAATTCTATCAGATGCGATAAAATCTTAAATAGAAATTGCGATTTTTAATTGTAGCTCCTTATGAGATGTTATTAGATCTCACAAAATTCACATCTCATGACATCGTAACAAATAATCCAACAAATAACAATCCAAACCGACCCATACACATTTGAATCATTGGTACTTCAAAGGTTTTAATGCCCCAAACTTTAGACTCCCCAATGAGCCCAAGCACATAGAGAAAACCCGAAAAGCATACCTAAACCTTTACTTTGAGTAATTCAAAAAGTTCAAATCTTTGAACCCGAAATAATGCCTAACCACCCCTAATCCAACCTCGTCATTCGCGAAATTCTTAAAAGTTAAAATCCAAGTACTTTGAACTTGTTCACCGTAAGATGAAATGCGCCTACCAGGAAAATGAACTAGAGGTAGCTAGTGAATTCTTGGGGTTGCCCATGTGTCCTCACTTCGTTGGCTGAGATGAAGTCAGAAACGATAGCTTTTTATTTTTAGAGTTAAGGGCCTGTTAATATATCAGGAACAAAACCACACTACGAAATATTTTAAAGTGCAAAATATACCTCCACAAATATTTCAAGATGCCTTGACCTTTATATTTAATACCAAAAGCCCCTATACATTTCGGACAGGAGGGAATATTTTATAATTCATTTGACTCCCTATGTGATGCACAAAAAGAGTTAACTTCAATATAATCAATTGTCCTAAGCATCAACTCAGCATCAATATAATCCATCTACAAATAGTGGGAATGTATTAATAAGGCAAGCAAGAAAATTCGGGTATCCTAAATCCTATATATAAATAAATATATATATAAATAAAAGAGAATTTGTCACGAGTAATATCTTTATAGTGTGAACTTGGCAATGTTTCAACTTTTTAAACGTCTAGTTTTGGTGAGATGGACTGTGACCATTTCCTAGGGGAAGACAGGTTGTGAACCTGGGTTGGAGGAAGATGGCCCTTCTTCACTTGCACTATCTTAATCCTGCTGGAAAACACACACCAAATTCTTCAGTTATGTTTAATTCTAGATGTCAACCTTGATATAATGACAAACTAGATAAATATTCAGTTTTACCTGCTCTCCCTCAGAAGACACTGTATCAGAAGACACAGTCTCAGAACAACAAGGCCTCATAATCACATCACGAGGAATATTTTTGGCTGCAAAAAATTTTTCAATGACCTCACATGAAATTATGGTTTTCAATAGAACTAAAATGGTAAAAATAAAACTTACCATTATATAAAACACCACAATCAATGATTTTAACCGGTGTAGAGAAATCATGATCTCTAATTGCTCTCAGTGTATCTAGTCCTCCCACAAGCTTCCCAAAGACCACGTGAGAACTGCAGAAGATTCCAAACATCATGATTAGTAAATTATTAATTTCTACAAATTCAATGTTTACACATTGGGCAATTTATATACTGACCCCAACCAGTCATGAGAAGAAAACAAAACAAGGTTAAACCACATAAATGAACCTATCAAGACTAGGATCAGCTTCCAGTGTGATCACGAAACAAGAATTAGAAGCTTCTTGGTCTCTTCTAGACATAGACAAAAGCCCTTCCTTATCGTGTTTGAGATTATTAAAGTCAGCTGAAATAAATCACGCCAATGTAAAAACTATGTTCATTAAGATAAACAGCCAAGAACATTTAGGAACTTTTAAAAAGTGGGTCTAGGATGCAGCATTCTCACCCGGGAAACGTGGAGTATATATGCTTTCTCCACATTCCCCTGCAGAAAAGATTAAAAATGAGAGGCAGACGTGTGTGAAATTAAGAATAGGCATTCCCAATAAAAAGGAATAAGAATAGGCATTACAAATAAGAAGGAAAAGAAATGATTAGTAGGTTTTGAAAATTATAGCAAAGTGGGCATCAGAACAGTCCTAATTCAATCCTACTGTTTAGCAACAGAAAATGATCTTGAGAGAGAGGACGCAAAATTTACTCAAAATCAATATATCAATATCTAACAAACAATATATATAACAAGACACATCATTCACAAGCAATGATCACTGCGGTTCATTCTTCAAATACCATGCCATGCACAAAAAACATTGATAGAAACTGATTAAATTATAAGCTTCAGAAAGTAGACTAGTGTTCCTAAAGTCAATGCATTGATAGAAAATATACCCGTTTTGTAGCAAACTAGACCTCCCTGCAAACAAAAAGGTAGCTATCAGTACACAGTCTTATGCCACATTCCCTATTTAGTATTATAAGATGGTCAACCGTAAGCTTAAAACTATATCACTATGTACCTTTATGTAGGAGTCACCTTCCCTATAAGGATGAAAGAAACTACGTTTGTACCCCAGAGGCCTTCCAGTTTTAGCACTCACTCCTTTTTCTCCTGCACAAAGAGAAAAGATTAAATGAGAAAGTGGGAACCATATCATAAACCATAAAACTTAATCGCATTATAGGAAGGCTTGACTGGGGGATGTTACCGAAATCAGAGAATTACCAGAACATAACGCACGGAAATTTTCCGCTGTAAAGGGGGCAACGTCATAGAATAGCTGGGTGGATGAAAGAATTCATTAGGTTGCATCTCTGCTCTCATAGTCAAAGTTGCAAAATTCAGAAAATAAAAACTTCATCTCGTGTGATAAGAAGTAATTAATAGAATGAAAAGGACCAAAAGGTTACCTCAAAAACCATCCTTTCATAAGGAGCCATAACGAAACGGACATCCAAAAAAACAGGGAATTGCGTCTTGTATTCCATTGTCCTTTTTTTTTCATGAATCAGAAACATAACCAAATTATTCGATCAGGATTTAATGGGAAGAATTCGAAAAATTCATCATAAATCACCCAAAAATTCTCCGAAAATCGCATAGAATCGAAGATAGAGTTCAATGGAGTGCAAAAGGGAGGTAAGAAAACCTGAGAGCGACAGCTACGTACTATGTCAATGGCGGAGTGTTCACGGGATAAAAGAGCGAGCAGGGAGAGGCTGCGAGTACCAGACAGAAGTGGCCAGCGACTGCCGCTGCCGGAGTCACGATGTCAATGTGAGAGCTGACAGGGGAGACGAGAGGGAGAGAACTATAGTTGCGATGTCCCAGAGCGAGGGGATTCCAAGTTGAGACCGGGAACGACTGAGTGACAAAGGAAAAATAGGGTTTACAAAAGCAAGAGGAAATGAAAACGGCAACGAGTTAGCCCACCGCTCAGGACAAAGTAGGTGCGGGCTCAATAGGTCGGTTTTAAAACAAACCCACCTTTGTTTTTTTTTTTTTTGCCTGAACTAAAAAGGGGATAAAACCCAACTAGATCAGTCCTTTGCGATAGCTACTCAGGCCCAACACATATTCCTTTAGTATGTCCAACACCTCAACAGGCGGCCTGTTCCAAATCCTCTTTTCCATTAGCTATCTCACACTTAGCTCCGCAAGTTTGTCTGCACATCTGTCAGCTTCTCAGTAGACATGCTTGACCTCTATCTCCTAATCCTTGTTCAAGGCCTTCCTAATTTCCTTCGATATAGTAGAGTTCCCTTCAATGTCTTTTCTTTGTTGCAACGACTCCACTACCTGCTTAGCATCACACTCAACTATGACTTTCTTGAAACCCATAGACTAGTATAGCTTCATACCTTCTAGAATTCCTCTGGCTTTTGTTGTAAGTGAATTTTGGTTTCCTAACTTCAAAAAGTATCCACACAGCCATTCTCTAGTGTCACCTCGAATTGCTCCTTTGCATACCCAGCAGTATTCAGTTTGCACCATTCGAATGGTGGTTTCTGCCAAGCAATCCTTCGGACTTCTATACCCGTAGCTTCTTGCAAGTCCTGATTTCCTTTTTTTTCTATGGGAAGAGAAATGATACCTAACTATTTCTTCTGGTCTTTCCAGTAAATTAAACTCTTTGTTATGAGTTAAGGAGTTCCTCCATTTGTATATAAGCCAACAGCAGGTTGCGAATAACTCCGGCCACTCTAGGTCTTCTTTTTTAACCAGGCCTTGTCTAAGATTACTCCAATTCCATATTTTCCATGCTTGCTTAAAGAAGCTTTTTCTTCTCCATTCTGGGATTAGTCTTCACCAAATACTAGCCGCAAAGGAACAGTCCCTAATCGCATGTAAATGGTCTTCAGCAGCTACTTGATAGATGTCGCAGGTATCTTCCCCTTCATTCCACTTGCTTGTGGTGCTCTTAGTGCTAAGTCTGCCATGATTACCAAGCCACATGAAAGTTATAATCCTTTCTGGCACATTTAGTTTCCAAATTTTGCTCCAAAACGATCGCTCTACACTTCTGGGAATGTTTTGTAGTGCTTTATATGTCTATGCCGTAGAGAAATTTCCATTATGTGATAATTTTCATCTTAGCTTATCATTTTCTCCATCCACCTTCGAAGGTAGCATGCCTCGAATATTTATTAATACCCAGTGTGGAATCAAGCTCTCCAATTCAGTCAATACCCACTCCCCTCTCTCATTAACCAAATCAGCTACTATTAAACTCCCATTCACCTCTCTATTATCTGGTACAAATGTACTCAACTGGGTGTGTTTCTGATCCAACAGTCTTGCCAGACGCTAGTGTTTCTTCCATTTCATACTTCAATCTCAATATTCTCCTTAAAGACCTGCCAGAGCTTGATCATTTCTTTCCCCTTGTTTCGCTATAGGACTGTTGTCAGTGTCCCTTCCTCTACCATACTTCCCAATGAGTACCTAGGCCTATAGTTCCATGGGTTGATTAAGAAGTCTCCATAGGAGTTTTAGTAGGAAAGCATCATTCATCAACTTCATAGACTTTATTCCCACTCCTCCCATGTTCTTTGGCCTGCACAGGGTTTCCCATTTAACCACATGTTTATGCTTAGCTTCCCCTTGCTCCCCCCAAATAGACCTTCTATGCTCTTTCTCAATCTCTTTCACTACACCACACGGTAACCTATCATGCTGGAGTTTATGGAGTGCCATGGCACAAGTGGTAGCTTATACCAGAGTAATCTGACCTGCCAAGGACGAACTAGAGGCTTTCCACCCATTCAATCTATTTCTCACTCGCTCCACAATCTTGCTATACTTCTCTTTCCTCTTTCTTGGGTAGGATAAGTCAGCTCCCAGATATCTGCCCATCTCTTCTACTTTCTTGAACTAACTCCTTCTACATATAGCTCTTTGAGTTTGCACTTTGACATTCGAAGAGAAGTAGATACATATCTTTTCTTTACTCACTTTATGTCCAGAGATCTCCTAAATACCTACAAAACACTAACAATAATGTCAATTTGATCTAGTTCTGCATCATCAGCAAACATCATATGAGAAATTTTAGGACCCTTTCTACTAGCTCTCAAACCTTTCTAGTGTTTCTCTCTCAATCTATCTTAGATCAAGTGCGTGAGCTTTTCCATGCCAAGGACGAACAGATCAGGAGAGATTGGATCACCCTGTCTAATTCCTCTGGTAGGCGAGAATTCATCTAGTTTTTCTCCATGCCACAGAATCACTGCAGAGGTAGTGTTAACACATCTCATTATTCGGTTCACCATTTCTTGTGGGCATTCAATTTCCTCTAAAACTCTTCTCATGAACTTCCAACTTAGTCTGTCATAGGCTTTCTTAAGGTCAACTTTGATTGCCATAGAGCCCTTCCTACCTCTTTTCTTTCTCATTGTATGGAACAATTCATTAACCACAATGATATTGTCCTGTATGTTCCTGCCAGGGACGAAACTGACTTGATAAGGTGAGACCAGTTTTGTCATGATGCCTTTCATTCTTCTCACAATAAACTTGAAAATACATTTGTACACTACATTGCACAATGAGATTGGTCTAAACTGATTTACCCGATCTGGATTTTCTATTTTGGGAATGAGTGTGACCAGTGTTTTATTAACTGTCGCTAATCTATCCGGTTGCTGCCTTAGTGTTCGAATTGAGTTACAAACATTCTCGCCTACTATTTCGTAGTTTCACTAGAAGAAAATCGTAGGGAATCCATCTTCTCCTGGAGCCTTTATACCTCTAATTGAAAACATGGCACTTCTAATTTCCTTATTGGAGATGGGATCACACAAGTTCTGCCACTCTTCCTTTAGGATTTGAGGCCACTTGTGCCTTGTTTGCACCCATGATCTATGATCTTCTTCTTCCTTGAAGAGGTTTTGAAAGAAAGAAATGATCACCTATCTGGTCTCCTCTTTTCCTTCGATCCAGTTACCATTTAAATCCTTCAGTGTCAAGGCCCTGTTTCTTCTTCTTCTTATATTTGTCATTGTGTGTTAGTATTTAGTATTTCTATCTCCGTCCCTTAATCACACTGTTCTAGCCTTTTGGAACCAAAAAAGTTCTTCCTGATCAAGCACTACTCTGAGTTCCTCTCTTAGGTCTCTCTCCAAGTCTTCCAAATAAATGTTTTTTTGTAGACTTTTTTGGATCCCTGCTATCCTATTTAACAGCTTTTGTTTCTGGTTTTTTATGTAACCAAACACCTCCTAGTTCCAAGACTCTAGTTTTGGTTCCATTTCTTCTAGCTCATTCCACACTTCATCATTTCTTTGCCAATTATCCTTCAGCAGTCTTTTGAAATCTATGTTTTAACCACATTGCCTCAAATCTAAATGCTCTATTCTTTTTCCTTCCTTTCAGCCTTTTAAAGTGGATGATGATCGGATTGAATCCTAGGCCCAACTTTCACAAAAGCTTCAGCAAAGCGGTTTCTCCATTCAGAGTTGCACAACCCTCGGTCTAATTTTTTATAGAGCCTATCTGCAAAGTTGATCAGTGGTCCCCTCCAAGTGAACTTAGGCCCTTTAGAGTTAAGTTCAACGAGTCTGTAAGCCTCAATATTGTCCTTGAACCTCTAAAGCTTTACATGATTAAGAGTTCTGCCCCCTCTTTGCTCTTCCTCACATTTGATGTCATTAAAGTCCCCAGCAAGCAACCACGACTAAGTCATGTTCATAGCAAGCTGCCTTAGATCACGCTAGAGTTCTCTTCTCTCATTCTCTCTTGGGACTAGTGTACACTGCTGTAAACATCCGAGGAACGCCTCCTTCTAGGGCTACTTGGCAATGGATGAATTAGTAACTACTTTCCAGTACCATTACCTGAAAGTTACCATCGTCCTAAAGCTACCAAATACCCCCAGATAAGCCTCTAGCTTTTTCAATAACTTGGTTTCTAAAATCCAATTTTTTAATGACCTCTTGGGCTTTACTACCACTACATCTTGTCTCAACTAACACTACCAGCACAGGTTTAAATTTTGCTTTCAACTCTTTTAAAGCATGATCGAAATCTTTTCTGGTTGCTCCTCTAGCATTTCAAATTCTTTCTTTATGAAATTCACAGCTTTTGTAAACTTTTCATGAGTTTTGATACTATTTATATTATCTACATAAATAGCAATGATAACAAACCTATTTCTAGATCCTTATATATATATAAATATATATAATTAAGTAGTATTCTTGATAACATAATTTTGTGCTTCTAGGAACTTGAGTCATTCAGGGATTTTTATATATTGTGATCCAAATCTATCTATATAATAAATCATTTTGAACTCACATAAGGATTTGAGTCTTTTTGGGATTTACATAAAATTTCATTATATAGTGAGTCACCACATTTCCTAGATGCATATGAAATATTTTCATATATTGTCAAATTGTCAAATTGATAAGATACATACAAATTTAATCCACCACAAGATTGCATTTCTCTTTTTTTTGTACAAGTGCCCATTTATATAATACCAGCGTTACACTTCAAGTGCTTAAGCTAGAGATACACAAATGCCGTTATAATGTTGTATCTTTTCTTTTCTATTAGCCAACGATCTTTTTGTTTGTATCTCATGGCAGATCTATATAGGACATTTGATCACTTGATATCATCACCAAAATTATTGTTGACAATTTTATTTCTTTATTGGTCTCTTTTTCTTTTATGACATAACATATTGATATCTTTTTATTGCTTTCAAACACTTAAAACCTCTTTAAAGGTCAAATAGTTATGTCTTAGTATCTTTTACAATTCATGCCTCCTTAGTATTATCATTTTGTTTTTTTTTCCTTTTTAGAACCAAT